TGGGTAGGAAGCCCAAGATTATTGTGGAATTTGTATCTAAGACACTAATTTATTGAAAAATCTTTTGCGTTTACCATCCATGTGTGGAATAATTTTAACAACAGAACATAGAGCCCCTGTCAGGGCAAACTAAGGAAGAGCACTTTTCGTGCTGCCCATTAATCTAATGTTATTTCTAATGTCAGCAGCCATTCAGCATACCATGCCAAGAGGATCAGGTGTTGCAGAAAAAAAAAATAAATCAAGCAATTTAATTCACCTCTGAGCAAGTGCTTGTTCAACCAAATGATGTGCAAGAGGAATGTTTACTAATACACTGAAAAATAAAAAAAATGCTATAATCCCAGTCGTAACTGGGGGGAAATGAACATTGAGACACTATTTAATTTAAGCAAATAGAAATGTGCAAAACCAAGCAACAAAAAAGCCTAACCAAAAAAACTACAACCCAACACCCCAAAACAACTGTTAATTATGAATAATTGTCCTTCTGCTAATGTTAGGAAAGGTGCTGTTGATKAAAAGCCTATCATTTGCAGTTCCTGGGTAATTGAAAGCATGTGAAAAGCGTTAAATGTTACTGTGTTYCGCAGTGAACAGAAAGCTCGTAGTCTCCTCCCCTGCTGTTCCTGTTGCAGTTTTGRGTAGATGAGGTGTAAAGCTCAGGACACAGCGAGGTGTCTGCCCCTGTGAGCAGCAGCCGCTGTTCTGCCTGTGCTGGGAGCTGCCATTGAGGAATGGAGTATGGCTGTGTCACRCATTGTCCGTGTGTGTCACACTGTGAATGTTTGCTCAGGGCTAAGAGCAAATTGCATACAGCATTCTGTGGTTAGGTAAATGCTAATGAGGAGGAAATCTTCGGGCCTTACTTTTACCGCTGTTCCTATGAAAAGCAAGAACCTGCTCTAACTTGATGAATGTAGGTATGAATGCCATGAGACATCTCTGACATCTTTGCTTGTATCAGCCCCAAAAAGATGGGATTGGTAGAGATTTCCTAAAAGTATATATTATCTTGACTGTAATTAATAGTGCTGATTTSYGTTCCACTTCATATTGCTTGTAACTGTCATAACAAATGATCATATGATAAAATCATATTCAAACKCATTAACCAAGCCAGATAAAAATCKTGRCCTTCRGAATTTTCRGAGTAGTGAACATGTATATAGTAAATGTTCTGTATTGTGCTGGTTATGTTGTACAGTTTTASRTGCTAGATTYGGATAAAAACAGCAGGCAGATTATATTTCCTTATTTGATGGAAAAGTSAGAAGATTTTCCCTACTTAGCTGAGAATTTAGTAGGAACCCCTCTGGGAGTTACAACATGCCCACTTGATCAGTTGTAAATCAGGTGCATAACAGCTTTATGTGGTACTCGCAAATGAAAAGTTTTTTATTGTACTGCTTTCTTTCCCACCTCCATTTACTATCAAAACTGACCTTTCACATACTAGATACTAGCAGTATTTGAACAAGACCTGGAGATTTTTACTTCTTTGTGCTTTCTGAAAGCCAGGGGCCAATTAGTGCTTTCTCTAGAGTTRAGTGAAGCGGCAGTGGATACAAAGCAACCCAAGGCTTCTTGCTTAGCATGCGAACATCACAGGTAATTTGGGAGAGGTTTTTTGGTGGCGTGTTTTTTTCCAAAATCCTCAGTCATTCCCTTGTCTCAAGAGAAGTTTTTTTTTTCTGAAAGAATTCTTTAAAATTACTCTATTGAATCAGAGTTGGATAGGTTTGATGGAGGTTTTAGCAGATACTCCTGTAAGGGAATTAATGTGATTTKTTCCTTAATATGGTAAATCTCAACAGACTGAGCAGCTGTTTACCTACTCTGTCATTGATACTGCATTTATTTGGCACTGCTCCAAAATGTRGTACAGTTTCCATCTGAACTCCTTTATGTTCTGTAAGGCAGGGTGTCAGCATTGTAGGGCTGGTGCTTTGTGTCTGGCACAATTCAGTATTGTTTCCAGTTTAAGAGGGGCCTTTTTGGTATTTTGCATTTCCTCTCTTCTCCAGTCCCCCCATGTCCCTCCCTTTCTCAGAGATTATATACCAAGAATAACAAGTAAGATGAAAATTTGGGTATTCAGCAGGCAGTAAAAACAGAAGCATGCTTTTATGTTCATCAAAAAGCATCTGTTGTGGAGCCAAGTCACTGACCTTTTCTTCTGAGCCATCATGGGACTTTTCAGGAAGAGCTGTGCTTTGCTTCACAGTGAACTTGTGAGGGAGTTTGCAGAYGTGTCCTWTGAGCACACACAGGACTCACTTGAGCCCTGGGATGTCGGTCTTAGGTACTTTATGATTAATCCACCTGTCACTAATGTGTCTGGGTCTCATCGTGGACATCAGAGGGGAAGGCTGTGCTTAAACCAAGCTCTTCCTCCACTTCTTCCCTAAAATGCTCCAGGACAAGTGTAACCCAAGTGCTCGCTTCTAAAGCTCTGAAGAGCCAACTCAGGGATGCCAAGGCAAGTCAAGGGGAAGGGAGACGGGGGAGGAAAGAGGGCTAAGAAGGTGGTGTAGGAGCCCTGAAATTTTAACCGGTGCTGCCCACATAGGATCCATTAGACTTCCAAACARCTACTCAGAAGCGTTTTTTCTGAGATGGCAGCATGGCTTTCTGAGCCTTATCTCACTCAGAAGAGGCATGTGTTCTGCAATGCATTGGTCTTTGAGGCTTAGTGCACACATTACATTATTTGTCAGCTTCTGATACCCTTTAGGGCTTTGTGGTTGTAGGCTCCTCCAGTGAGGCTTATTTTATTTAGCAATCACCATTTTAATTGCACATAAACCTCTGTATCTGTAGCTCCTGCAGCAGATATCTCTATGAAGAAGCCTTAATATGTCATAATATTTCTAAGAGAATAAATATGCATTTTTTGCTAGGACCTGCATTTTAGACAGGAAAATAATTGGGTAGGAAGTGTCTCTTACCTCTTGTTGAATGTATGAAAGACAGTTACAGCTTTTCAAACCTGGCTAAAACTATGAATTATCCTAGAATATTTGTATGGATCTAATTTAGGCAGCTGTCAGACAAGAAGTATTTTAGGTTCTGCATATTGTCTTGCAAAGGGGCTGTGGCTGTTTCCAAAGACTTCTTTTACTGCATGAAATCAGGAAAATTTGTATAGCACAGTAAATACTGTGGAGATATTTGCCAATTAATTGATATTACCCAATTAATTGGTATTACCCAATTAATTGCTTCCATGAATAAATTATTTCTAACAGAGGGAAGGAGAAGTTTGGATGAACTTGAATCATTCTTACAGCATCCTTGTGAGAGGCATATTAGAAACTCTAGGTCTGTTACTTCAAACATTGATATACCTCTCAGGTTACTGTAGGAATTATTCTTTGCCRTTTCAGGAGCACTGGGGATATGGGTGTGCAAATTTTATTTTATCTTCTTTTTCATTAAAGGGCATATTCAAAAATATAGGAAGAGCCTTTAATAATCATGTCGCATCACTGTTGACCAGCAAAGGCTATGCGACCTTCTGTAAGACAAATCACAAATAGAAGTTGAGTAACAGTTGGGAATTGGGCTMTAATTCAGAGTAGGACTTGTCCTGTCTTTTATTAATGTATCTATCCTTCCTAGCTACCCTGATTCTCGGCCTGGGGCTTTAACCTTTTGCGTAGAGCCCACCTTCTTGCTTTGATGCTCATCCGTTGAATTTTGGATAGGTTTGTTATTATGGTTTGCCTGAGCTGAGCTGCTCCACCTCTTGGTGAAAACAGGAACATTCCTTCTCTTGTGCAGTGAAGATTTATTTGAAAAACTGGTCTAGGGGGAAGCAYTGAATGCTGTAAGCGTATGCTGTGAGCGCTGCCTTCATCCGGGAGGTTTACTAATGATGCTCTGTCCTCTTTATACTCGAACGTAGAGGAGATGACGTTACGTAAATGAGCTGCATGAAGATCTTGAATCCACCGTTTTCTTTCATGTTTCCAGTGAGATGTCCTAGGGTGGTTGCTTGTAGAGTAGACAAGGTCCAGATGCTGCCAGAACCTGAGATGCAGCTGTGATTTTCAAGACATGCAACTCTGAAATTCACAGAACAGGAATTGCTACTACTTGCTCTCTGTTGATTTGGTCATGTTCTTCCTACGCAGTGTGGAAATGCTTTATGGTTGAGTATGTTCTGTAGAAGACMTTGCCCATGTGGTATTTTCTGTCTCAAATTCACTTAGCTGCTCAGAAAAGGAGGTAAAAACTAAAGAACTCTGAAAGAARCAACCTGCTTACAGTAAAAGATTTAAAAGGCTCTCTTGTGGCATTGAAATAGTCACATAAATCTCATGAAAGCAGCAAAGAAACAGGAAGCATAACAGAGCTTAATCTCTCCAAGTCATTTAGTTTGCCCACCTTTTTGCAATGCAAGAGTCTGTGGATACAGATACATGCTGCAATAAATTTGTCTCTGGCGTCTTCTGTGTTGCTGTAAGATATGAGAGTATTTCCATGTGATAGCAAAATCTAACACTTCTGGATGGTCAAGTCTTCAGCCAGGAAAGCAAAAGGTATGATTTGCAGTTTCCAGCTAATGTGGTAGGGATGAAGGATGGATTCTCTATGGAAGAATGCTTATATAGAATGGCACGTGCATGGAACCTTCTTTAAAATATTTAAGTAGCCTGAGGTCAAAATTTCTTGTGCTATTTAGAAGGTAGCGTGAGCTCTCACCATCCAAGCCCAAGTTRCATTCAGTCTGTACTCTTGCAAAAGTGAGCACCAAAGAATACTCTACCAAAAGTGGTATCATGGGGTACCAAAGAAAAACGGGCAAGTTGTTCTAATTCATGCTGTGAGGCTGAGAAGTCTCCTTGTTCTATTCAGTTTTCATAGCCTCTATCAAAAAATGCAAATTGTAAGCTATATTTACATTTTTGTCCTTCATTTGTATTAAAGATGCACACTTAACATTGCACAAAGTGGTGTGTACAGACCTYTGTTTTGTTTTTTCTCTCTTTCAGACACCCTGGCTCTGGAATACCAGGCAGTGCTGGAGCGGGTATCCAAATCAGGTAAAAATTACAGTGCTGTGTGAAAACAAGYATGGCACTTCTGCAGAGCTCTGTTTTTATTATGGCAGAGCTTTGTGCCAGTATGTTTGTGTGAATGGGCTACTCAGCATTTCAGAACATTGCTAGATACTTCCCATCTTGCTTGAGTTCATGATGGGAAAGATGAACATAGCTGTCACACCCAAATTTCACACATTGAATTGCAAAAGCTCCAGAGAAAAGTTTGCAGTTTAAGGAATTTAACCAGTCTAGGGCATATTTTCTTTTTTTTTTTTCTTTTCCTCCCGTAAAGAGCAGGGAAAGGAGGAAAAAAGTAGTTGCCAGACTGGAAAGTATGAAGAATATTGTCCAAAAAACACATGAATGCCTGTGGCAGTGAACAGTGCTTGACAGGCTGAACAGAGCTGGTTTTCTTGCAGGTTGTGTGTCGTTGGAAGTMGTTCAATGGAGATAGTTCCTTAGAAATCTCAATCTGAGAAAGTTTGAAGGAATTTGGTCATGTAGCCTCAGAAGAAAAAATGACTTAAATTCCACCCAGAGACTGGAGGGTGAACYGAACGACATTAGGGAAGCAGCAGCAGAAATTGAATTGGGAAGTGTTGAAACTTAATCCCTCAGAAATTTTACATACAATTATTTCTTAAATTAATATGGCTGCAGTCACTGCTGCCTCAGCCCCGTTTCCTACTATTTTTGTGTCATTACGTGCAATAAGAGCTTGACTTAAAAAAAAGAAGACCATGAATCTTACTGATTGAAGAACATACATTTACCAGACTTATCAGAAGAACAAGGTCATTTGCAACTTTCAGAATGTGGGAGCTAAAATTACTGTATCTAATATCATTCTAATGGTGAGGGTCCAACATAAGCAAACAGTCAAATTAAAGTCATTGTGAAAATCATTGTCTTGAAGATRAAAATGTCTACTGGGTGCTAATCAGGACTCAGTACTGAGTTTTCAATTTGTTTTCTTGTTTTTTYCATAACTAGATAAAATTTCATTTGTTTGCTACAAATGATTTGTAAATTACGCAATAATTTACAAATTAAATTAATAATTTTTGAGTATTTGTAAAATACTCAATTTTACTGCAGAAATCCAGCCGGAGTTCATTCCAATCAAATGGATCATTTCGGTGCCAGCACAGCCATAAGCATAGGACACTCCTCTTGAGGTTAAGTCTATGGAGAACTGAAACTGAACATTTGAACTAAGTTAAACACACTATTTATCCAAGAGGGAATCCATGACATCTTCAGAACTGCCHTACACTATCACTACATATGAGCTTAGAAATACTATTGCTATTGTTAAGAAAGCTGATATCTTCATTTTTTGCTAGAAATTTTCTTAAGTGAGTTCYCTTGCAATAATGAGTATAATAGTTACAGTTCTTTCCCTTTTTTAATTACATCTAATTGAAGGTCTAKTGTCAATCTCTCTAAATCAGAAGAGGATTGTATTGACCCAAATAATGGCTTTAAAGGATGGATTTTAAGTGTACACATTTTTCATAAAGCATATGTCTGTATTAAAGTAACACCCATAGAGCATTTTCTGTGAGTCCAAGGACTGGTTTTCAGCTGCAAAGAATTTGCCTGCAAATGGGAATGGGAATAAAAGGGATAACTGAAATACTTTTTGTCAAGCAGCTCATACCCTGATTGGGTTCATAATTTTGCCAGTGCAAAGTGTCTCTTACTTTGAAACATCTCTGTAACYATGTTGTGTATCAGCCAAGATGCTTGGTTAATTTTTTTCTTTATTTTCTTCTTTCCAAAAGTTAATATATCCCCAGAAAATTATTAAATTCTTCAAAAGTATGCATTTATATTAGAAAGAGCCCTGCTCAAAGGCCACATTTTCATCATGAGCAGATGAGATTATTTTGTAGCATTACTTTTTTTCCAGTCTGCTCTAGCACCTTTTTTTTGCTATGCTTTAAACGGATAACAGCAAAATGTTTCAATCAAACTCTCAAAACAGACTTAGGAGTACTTGGAATGTCATTTGCTCTGGATTCCTAATGGACAACATCATAATTTTTGGTATTACAGTATCGTGAGGACTAAAACATTAGAGGAGAGTAGGTTGGGGAGCTTCATTTTTCCAGAGCCATCAAGGTTTGAAAGAGGCAACCATGACAGTTTTTCTTTTACATAGGATGCTTATGTATAATTCAATAATCCCCTGTGATTAAACATGTCTGCTATAGAGCACAGTTAGAGACTCCATTAACCTTTTCTCATCTCCATCTTTCAGCCACTGATGCCTGATGTTCATTATTACTACATAGTTGAATTGTCATTCTACTGGTCCTTACTGTTTTCTCAATTCATTGACGTCAAAAGAAAGGTAAGAACAATGAGACTAAAACYACTAAAAGCTTTAAACTTTAACATATCATTCTTAGCTTGAGGAATACCTGTATTGCACGTGCAGTGAACTGGAAATACAGTCCTTTCTGGTGTTTACCTCTGGCAGATAGTAATCGCTGAGAAACTGTGATTGCCTTTACTCTGTTCCTTTTTACTATAATGTGGGGGTTTTTCTGCACATGGAAAGAAGAACCTAAAGCAATCAAATATTGAAGGGCAAATAGCAGCAGCCAAAAAACCCTTCTGTTTTCATACTTGAGTGGAATGGAACAGTTAGTATCTGATAAATGTACTGTTTCTTCTAAGATTTAAMTGATGAAATACCAATAAAAGAGCAAGATTGCCTCATAAATTCACAGTATCCCTTTGTAAGATACAATCTATGAGGGCTTTCAGTTGTTTCTACAACAGGATAGCAAAACCAGGGATACACTTAATATTGAAAAGTTACATTATTTTTAATTTTACCCCTACAGTTAGGAAATTTCAAGTAGCTGAGTGCTGCTGTTAGAGGGCTATTAATGAAAAAAAAAAAAAAGACTGTCCAAATAGAAACATTTTTCCARAATCAGTAGCAACCTCTTCCATATTCCAAGTTCTCTTCTCCAAAGAGAGTCCTAGTCCATGCAGAACAAGCAGCACAACCATTATTCTATAATAACAGTTCATTGACCTATTTTTGCAGGGGCTTTAATGTTAAAAATTAATTTTTTTAAAGATTTGGTAGGATTTTATRATACCTTCATGTGCCTCCTTCAGGTGTCATTTAAATAAATGATTGTAGGCTATGCTAATGGAAAAATCCCAATTTATTAGAATTTTAGCAGGGGCATAACTCTGAAAAGAGTAAATGAAGGATTCAGTATGACCTGAATGAACTTTTCTGCCATTTGAAACCAAAGCGTATTCCTGGGAGTCCTATGCCAGAGCTRCCTGTTTCTATTCCTCTATTTGGATTTCTAAATTATTCCAGAAGTAGAAATCTGAAGAAAGCATYCACAAAATTTAAATCCATATTGGAGGATCAATTATAACAACCAATTATAAATTAAACCAACCAATTGACCAATTACAAATTAAAGCAACTAATTTGTAATGGAAGCATATAAATCCCTTGCTTGCATTGTCTGTAGATGATAAACATTTTGTTAATGATGGTCTTGAAAGAGTATAAYGTCACTGTTTCAAAAACCAGAGATAAACAGTGCTCGGGGGAGCTGTGTGATAGTGGAAATGAATTTAAATCATGAGTAATATTGACTAACATAGTAAGCTGCAGTTGCCAAGTCTGGTTTTTAGTTATTTATAAATGACGTGTACCTGTTATTAGAAAAACTTTAGAGCAACCTGCTGTGGAAATAGGATAGGAGGAGGGCAAGTGGATCGCTGAGAGCCAAGTAACACCCCGGTCACAGATCTGCAGTACTTGAACCCAGAGCAGCGGATCCAAGCAGTGTCCTGTGCACCTGCTGTGTCTGAGAAYGTGCAATGTCCAGCAGAGCAGGAGCACAATATCTGCAGTGCAGGGAGAGCAAGTTAAAAGCTTTTCATTAYCAGCACCCTGCAGGTAATAGTGGAGATGCCACATTTATAACCTGTTAGATCAGTCTCCAGTTTGGAGTTCAGAGACAGTGCTTTTGTAGTGTACGCGAAATTTATAAGAAGGAAGGTCAGACTGGAGAAATGCAGCTGTGCCCTGGTGTCACACAGTAAAAYTCCCTGAGTGCAAGGTGCCAAGGAAATCCAGTGAGTTGAAAAAYGTTAGTACTGAAGATTATAGTAGTTGACAAAAAGGGGTACAAGCTTGGCAGAGACACCAGGTCTGGCAACRCCATAGTAGTTCTCCTTCAAAAGAAGGTTTAGTTTAAAATAAGTGKAAACCTTGTAATGCACCCAATATGCAATGTGTGGAATGGTGCCCATGTGAAATAGGGATCTGTTTAACAGGAAGAAGCAGAAAACTTGCCAGCTAATATCAGGTGCTATATTAGTATTTCACAATTGGCTTGTATGGAACAGATGACCATTTCTCAACCCAAGAAAGCTGTTGATGTTTTCATGTTACAGTGAAAGGAATACTTTTATCTAAGTCTTGGTCTTTGCTTTAGATACTTTGAATTCAAAGCAGCGGCTGTGTTGTATTCTGTGATGATCAGAAGTGCCCAGGCAATCTTGTGCATTACAGGAATTCAGCCAAATGCTTTTTTTCACGTAGTTGGGTTTCTCTGAAGGAGAGGTGCAGTGTGTCCTTGYTGAAAGCAGCAGCACTCAGCACTGGCCTGACTCCAGCACTGGTCTTTTATTTGCTGTAGAGAATTTTATTTGCTGTATTTGCTTATAGCTCAAGAGAAATTGTACTTGCTGGTTTTAATCTCCATTTTATTCTTCTMTGATAGCAAATTGATGACTTCCAAAATTATCTCCTTCATTTTTTCTGACTTTCAAATAMTTGCTTATCTTTATTTAGGTGTTACAAATCCCACCAGATTGTCTTTGMCTGACTGGAGGTGTGAGCAAACTARGCCTTAGCACATTCCTACTRTTGGCATTAAGYCAGCAAACTCTGTATATTAACATCTGCAGTTTTATAGTGGCATGTTGTTAGCTTCATAAATATCTACTGTGTTGCTGTAATGATATTCTACCCTTAAGTGTGTTCACTGTCAAAGACTGCAACCTAGTATGAATTGGTGTTTTATCATCTTTGTCCGGTTTCCCATACGCCTGTTTGTAAAGCACTGAAAAAAAAAGATGAGGGAATTTTGTTATGTTTCACAGGCACCTGATGAACCTTGAAAGCAGTGAGGCTTATTTACATGCTTCCTGGCTACCTGAAATATTGTTTAACAGAAAAATATTTGACAATTACTTGTAAAGGAATGTATAAAATTTCTACTCAATGTTTTAACAAGTTTGTAGAAAATGAATGAGACCTTTCTGAGTATTCACACCTTTTATTTTCAAGCATTTGGCAATTACTAGAGCTTCTGTGTTTTACTTTATTTATTTTAAATGACAGTTTACTCATTCCAATAAYAAAATTATCTGTAGCTGCTAATTTTCTTCAATGCTGAATTTTGATTCTAGAAAAGTMGCATTATATTTTGATTAATTTGGATACTAGATCTCTTTCTTCAGAGACTTTTCTTGGTAGAGACACAGAATTGATTTCTTTTGTTTCTGTGGAAGCAATTTAGATTGCATACGTTTTGCAAACCTTTCTYTTTCCTTGCTGATGTGCAACAGGAGCTACAAGGGTGTTGTTTTGCCCTTCAGTGGCACTAATGCTCCACAGCCTCTTGGCASTTCAGTCAAAGAATGTGGCATGTTAAACAAATGTGGGTGGGAGAAGCCTTAATTCCAGAAGGCTTGTCTACAAGTTGAGACCCRTGGGGTTTCTCTGCTGTCTGCCCTGTGTTCTTCCCACTGACRGTGTCTGGAATCGGTTCTTTCTCCTGTTCTTCACCACAGATTTTCATGGGCACATGACATCTTCCAGCAGTTACAACTACAGGCTACAAATCTTCTGCATATAAATACATCTTTCACAAACAAACATATGATTTTAAATATATTAACAAAAAAAAAAAGTTAAAAAGCCCATTCCTGTACAGCAGCTTTTCTGCTGTATATGGGTAAAGGCTCTGGAGTAAGCTGGGAACACAATGCCATTTGGCATTATGCGGACTTGTCCCATTCATATCTGTGTTCATTAGCCTTGTGTATAACTAAAATCTAACAGGCAGCATCTTCAGAGCATAGTATTAATTAATGACTTAAAGGAATATCATAAACTGGAAAGAAGCAAGCCCAATAACAAAGCAATCTTGTTTATATCATTACTACTTTTTTTCCAAGTTTTCTGTAGGTCAGTCCAGCCTCTCTGTTTCAGAGGTGGCAGAGTCAAGTAACTGTCTCTTTTAAGAAACATTATTACAGAAGGAGTTCCCCGTACAGCATTTCTTTAAGAAGACTCATGCAAAAATGCAGAAGACTGCTGCCCAAGAACATTAGGATTGCTTAGGRATAATCCATATTGTCAGAAATGCCTTGAAGAATATCCAAGAGGGACTAGAAATCTTGTATTTGTAGAACACAAATGTGTCAGCTGTGAAAATAGAGGAGATTTTCTGCTTGACTTTTTGCCCTATTTTCACTGCCCATGTGCTAACATAATTGCATTTGGAAGGAAAATTARGAACAGTGCCATAGTATTTGCAGCTGAAGGTGGTAAAGAGCTAGGCTGCAATATGGCCATAGGGGAATGCTAGGTGCTTACTTCTAATCTCAGGGAATAATGTAGGTGCTTTGCTGTTTTTGTTATTGTGAAATGCTCTCCATGTGTGGGTTTCTAGTTACTGAAATGACTAAGATGCCATATCCTTGTTTCCCTTAGGACACTCAGAAAGGGAAACATCCTTTGTCTTTTTCTTCTGTCTACTTGGCAAAAATGGATTTAAAATGATGACTTGATATGACTGCTGAATGTATTTTATTGTGTTCCATGCTGCTGGAGGTCAGATAAACTGGCATACTAGTTTCTGCTTTTAGTCTTTTTATCTCTTTTCTCCCTTTCCCTGCCCTCCTACCCTTCCTCAATTTTGGAAGGTGATCTTTTGTGTTGGCGATATTGGTGGTGCCTGCTGAGGAGTAGGAAACAGGATCTTGTGGCACCTGATAGCATTAAAGTGATAGGCTGGGAGCAGGTTCTGTCCCTCTTGAGTTAATGAGACTGCCCAAGCTGCAGGTTTTTCCATGGACTCCAGGGGTACACTGCAGTGAAGGCAAGTGTGGGTAGTGAGAGGCAGTGGCAGTGCACATCCTTAAAAGCAGTGGTGCCTGCTACATTCCCAAAGAGAAGAGTGGGAGCACTGTGCAGTTACTCTTCTCAGTGCTGRAGAGATGGTGCAGTCAGGGGCTGCAGCTGCTGCTTTTCCAGAGTTGCCCTGTGTTAGTTGGAGCTCATAGCATTTTTCTTGGGGCCCTCCTGCCCAACACATGTACCTGCAGTTCCTTTGCAAACCAGGTGCTGCCTCTCTAAAGGATCTCAGTTTCAGTTTCTCTCTGTGGGCCACTTAGCTGAAGACTACCACGGCTCAGCAGGACTGGCCCATCAACTCCATCAGAAAGCCAGATTCCAGCTCCCAATACACTTGGTGAGCAGGATGCCTGAAGGARCTGCTCCTTTTGACTGGTTCTCTCAGCTTTCAGGCAGCTCTACATGAAGTCACTAGGTCTGCTGGGAGCTGTGGTACAAACTTTGCATGTGGTGCATGGAGAAACTTCCCAGTTAAATGTTGCCTGTRTTATTTTCCTAGGGGTTTTTATATCACTTTCTCAAAGCTGTGCAGGTAGTTCAGTAAATKCCAACAAGACTTCTTTTTGACTGACTCAGTGCCTTGCTGAGAAGAGTCTCATCTCTGCAGGTCCTGTTCTCTCGTTAATCAGTCTGGGAGCCTAGTCCAGGCAGATCATTTCCTCTGTTTTATCTGCCCCTTGACGAGTATCTGTGAGTGTGATATTGTGTGAGCTTCACTGCTCCCAGATTTTTCAATAGCAACAGTTACTTTCTGGCTAAATAACTGCGAGTTCCTGCTCTGGAGACCAGCAAGCTTGCATCATTTGGGAGGCAGTGGATTGGAGCCAATTAGGAGATGCACCAGCTCATTTGGAGACCKTTCTGACCCTGTTACAGTGTGAAGACAAAGCACCTTGATTAAAAACAAACAAATAAAAGCCTGCATCTGGAATTCTCTCAGTTGTCCTTGGCAGGTGCCTGTTTTCCTAGTGCACTAGAAATGTGTTTAGTGTTCCTTTGTAGCTGTTTTCTCTCTTCTGAATGGTGCATTATTTGGCACTTTGTTATGTATATCGTTATATTCATATGTGATTTGGTGCGTAAAAAGCATGGTGGAATTTGATTTGTGTGTACATATGCCTTTTCAAAGTAACTTCAGGTGTTTACTTAGGTTAAATAACTATCAACTGAGAAGCATAGTCATTGCCTAGATTTCAGTAATATTTTTGCATTCAGTTAACATACAGTGATTATTTTGTTCAGTCTAAATGAAATATAGAGCAGGGCATATAATGCACTTATACATACATCTTGTAACTWAAACATACTGCTGGATTTAAAAAACATCCATCTATTTTTGTGTATGAGTACTGAATATTAGTGTTTGCTTAATTGTTTTTTGGTTTTTGTTCTTTTTCCCCTGCTTTTTCTGCTCTAGGATTTTGGAATCATGTTTACACATCACATCGTAGCAGTCATCCTGATTACCTGCTCATACATAACCAATTTGACACGAGTGGGAACCTTGATCTTATGTCTCCATGATGTGTCTGATATTGTCCTAGAGGTGAGATAATTCATACATCATTGTGTCAGTAGGTAGAATCTTTTTGCTATGCACAGTAAGTATTTCCTAAGCCAGTTCAAGATGGTTATGGTGATTAATATGGTGTGTTTCCTTGCTTAGATATACTGTGCTTGTAGCCGTGCATATTTCTGATTTCAGTCTGGTTCATCCCTTGACAAGTTGCTTGTACAGAGCAGAGACTGTTACCCATTGCATGCCTGGGAGGGCTACACACAGATTTTAAATATAACRTGGGAAAATCAAAAGCTAAAGTTGCCAAATCTAGAAAGTGGTGACAGTGGGTCACCTAGCTCTTAACCCTCTGWCATGGAGTAATAACCCTGTGTCCAAAACAATCAAGGTGTCATGGTGTGTCTGCTCTGCTGGGTGGAGGGTATTGGACAATTTAGTGACTATTTGAGCATGGTCAGTGAGCTGACCTGATTTTCCAGGTTCCCATGCCTTTGGATCCCAGTAACAGCATTAAGTAGTTGGATTTCGAGAAGAAGGGATCATTGAAATTCTTATGAGATGATCTGTAACTTTCATGGTGGCCATTTAGAGATGTCATCSTTTATTTTCATCAGTTACACGACCCTGGGTCGTGCTGGTATTTGGCTGGCTGTGAACTTTCCTCCAAAGTTACTAACTATTTTGTCTGAAATTRTTTTTTATTCAAGTACCTGCAAGGATCCTGTTATGCAAGAATATGGACTCAGTGCATGAGTCACCTATTGCAMAATCAAAATCCTACTGTTCTGATTCAGTAGTGCTGTAAATATGGTTTTATTTTTAATTTTTTTTTTAAATCTAGAAGGCACATACTGCTTGAGAAAGAAATCGAAAGATAATGTGGATTTCTCCTGATAGAAATGATTACATCTTTGCAAGTTTATTTTTCTGTTTTAGCAGTGTGTATAGCTGTGATTTTACATAAACTTTATTCATTCCTCTTTTCTGACCACCAGAAAGAAGTTCTTAAAGATGTTTATTYTAGATCAGACCAGTGTCTGTGGAACTATAAAAACACTGGAGAGYAGCTGTAATAGGCTAGCTAAAACCTTACCCTCTGTCCATTCACTAAGACAGAGGAATTGCTGGTATTCTCATGTAAGTTGCAAACATTCAGCAAATATGCTTTTTCAGGAGGCGCATACTTAAGTGGTCTTTCTAGTTAATTCTTTCAGTCTGTTTTAACTGGAAATTCTGCTAGGACAGTGGGTCACAGCCCTGGTGTCATATGAGAGGAGATGGACTCTTGCACACTGCTGATGTTTCTGAGGGGAAAGTCAGTGCAGAGRAGAAAAACTATCAAACTGCAAAAGAAGTTGGTTAAATAGCTTGCCATGATGGGTCAGTTGTGCACCTGACCTGTGTTGCCTATTATATATCTGTAAAAAGAAAAAGCTGTTTCTGGAGGCCACTAGACTCTTTTCATCTACCATTTCATAATGAAACATTTCCAGTGGAAAAGCACCATTTTTTTCTGTTCTCAAAAGTAGTGTGCATTGGTGGGAATGCTGGAGGTGAGATTTTTTCCACAGGTTTTAAGGATCGGGAAGTGTGGAAGAACCATAGTAGGATTTTCAGGAATATGTRGACCTGTGTTATACTCAGCTGTAGTAATGGTTTTCAAACACAGAAAATTGTGTTGTATTGTCTCGGATGGCCAAATTCMATCCAGCAACAACATACTTTTCCCTTTTTTTGTACTCTTACTTTATCACTATGATTTGTAAAATTATAATTTGTTATTGGAGAACTGATGTCCCAATAGCTGTACTGTTTTTGAGAAATGACATGATTCTACTGCAAGTTGCTGTAGAATCATCAGCTTCATGCACTATGAAACCAGTTTTTTAGACTGCCACCATGGGAATACATCCAGAATTCCTGGACTGGRTTTTCCATCCTCTGAAAATTAAGGAAGTTAGTAACGCTTCTACTTTGCATGTTGGCACCCAAGCATTCTCTTTTTCTTCAAGCCAGGCTGTGAGTACAAACTGCTTGCAAATTCATTTGTGTTCTCTAGAAAACAGGGCTTATTCAGAAGGGTTACATTTTCTTTGCAGCACTGGTGGCTGTCCTCATGTTCTGTGAGCTTCCTAACTTGGTTTCTTTAGTGAGGAATATTCTTCATGTTCAGGTTTTTAGTGGGAACATTGCAAAAATTGGGTAACATCCAAAAGTGCATATTTGGTTTTGGCACACATATTATCTGTTTCTCTGATTTGAGTCCTGCATTCAGAATACTATTCTGTATGCATAGTCGTGGTAATTTTGCTCCCTSTTAGCATTCTGGAAAATGTGCACAAGTATCTTCTCAATATGGGAGCTGGATGCAGGTCTCCTCAGAGAGCAGCTTTGAAAGGGTTCCCAGTGACTCAACTGGACTCTGGATACATTTGAGAGAAAGACGAAGAAAGACTGTCCCTATATTGAAGCAGATGTTATTTAAAAATAATTAACTGCTTACACACATTAGCACTCTGGAAGCAGCACAGACATCTTAAAACAAGCTTCCTTCCCTATATGCCATTTTCTTCAKGGAGAAAAGGTCAAAGAAACTTCAGGGAAATTCAGTGTTTTAATGAGCAGTTTCAGAGAAGAGTATTGAATTAGTGAATCTTTCACTGGGAAAGAGTCAGAAGACTGCATGAAGACAAATGAGAGAAGCATGAAAAAATAAGCATCAGGCAACAAGTTAGAAARAAAAAGTTGAAAAGAGAGCCTTGGAAAAAGACTTGAGGGGAGGGGTATAATCCTTGTGGTGGAAACTATTCTGTTTAGGCAGAAAGGGAAGAGGAGATGTTTTAGGATAATGTAGGATATGGGGTGTAGTGGAGGAATTGAGACAAAGTTTATATATAGCAGGCGCTAGAAGGTCAGAGAGCATGGGACATATGGAAGGAGATGAAAATGCCAGGGGGCATACTGGAAAGGTGAAAGACAGGCAGATAAGAAGGCTGGGGACAAGGACACCATAAACACATTGAGGTTAAATAAAAGGTTTAGAAAATTTTTGTGAATCTGAAATTGTAGAATCTCAAAAAATTGAGTTGAGAGGGGAATAAAGAAATTAAATGAGTACTCTAGATTTATGCAGTATGAGTTGTTTTGGTTTTTTCCAAAGAAGACATTTTCCAGCTGCTTGGTGGAGAGGAGTTCCAACATCACTGTGAGATGGTCCAGTGAAAATATTGGCGATTTCATAAAAATTTKATTTGTTCTTCTTACAGCTTATACACAGTACAAGAGAACTCGTGGAAGTAAAAAGGCATATTTTTCTTTTGCAGGCTGCCAAAATGGCAAACTATTGCAAGTGTCAAAAACTGAGTGACCTTCTGTTCCTTACATTTGCCGTTGTCTTCATTGTCACTAGGCTTGGCATATATCCTTTTTGGTGAGTAAGGACTTCGTTTTCCTCAAATGCTAAGCACCAAACAAGCTTGGAAATAACTGTCTTGTAATTGAAAATGATTCATTGCCATTACTCTGTTTCCCAAAGCATCAGGGAGAGTTTCAGACATAACCAGGTGCTGAAATAGCCTGTTTGCTAGAGTGCCATTGTGTTTACTGTRTGTTACATGAGAAACATCTATGGCTTCTGCTGGTTTTAAGGTTGAAGTTGGAGACAGCATAGCTTCAGCTGCCAGATGGTTGGATGTGTTGGCAAGAAGTAAGAGAAAAATGAAAATATTAGTTACTAAAAAAAAAAAAAAAAAAAAAACCAACAGAAGAGAGGCTAAGCTTAAAGCTAGGATATTCTCAATAGCTTTCAATGCTCATTTAATGAACATTTTTTACTTAAAGAAAAGCATAGTGGAATAAGTAAAGTATGACCTGCTGAAATTAGTATAAGGATGTTATTGCCATGCAGATTGCAGTACTGCAGGCTACTCCTTTTGCACCTCTCCTTTGAATTGGGGTTCCTGGGGCAGCTGTGTAACACATATGTCTATAAGGTAGTTACACAGTCTTGCTGTAATCTCTCGTCTTCCCAGTCAGCTGCTTTTATGTGCACATACTCTGTGCTAGGTACACAGACATGTATGCACACAAACTGAACATAGATGTTTGATTTTTTGGCTAGGATCTTCTCCATCCAGAGGGCAGATGACTAATTAGGAAACACATGGAGATGTACTTCTTGTAAAAACGCGTTGAAGTTTTTCTGTAACCTGTGCACTTTATTTATGAGGAGGGCTGAGAGAAGGTGTTGACCTTGGCTCTTTTCTGTTCTCAATCCTTTCTTACTTATAAATAGAATTAGAGCAGATATCTGTATTTCTAGGAAAGTAAGAGAGGTCTTTCATTGCATCAGGAGATAACAGTGACAGTTTTATTCTTGGGATGCACCAAGAATGCCAGAAATTGTATCCTTTGCAGASTTTATTTAGAAAGATTACCACCGAGCTCCTTATTCAGATATGCAGAGGATTTACAGATGCCAGTGTCAACCTTGCTGCCACAGTTTCCTTTCAAAACCTCTATAATGATATCTCTGAGGTTTTGCTAATGCAGACAGGGGAAGACCAAGGTGCCCTTAGGGAGCTGTGTCATCAGCTCTGTTTAACTCTACGACKTAGAAGTCTCATTTAGCATTTGATGACTCCAAAGATAATGTCATAATGCCTGGTCCCTACTGTGCTTTGAGTTGGTGAACAACCATGACAAAACATGATAAAAATTGACACACAAACTGCATGTTTAAAAACATTTTTTTATATCCTTCAAGGAGCAATTACTGTGTCCTTAAAAAGTTTTGCTTCTTTTCCTCAGTCCTTTCTTGAAGTCAACTGGGTCATTCACTGAATTTCTGTAAATTAGATAAACTAGTTTTTCTACTTGCATGCTCTCAGAGAGGAAAAACGGTGGCATTCCTGTTCATAGGCTTTCAYCTATCTTGCATTCTGTTTTGTATTGAGAAATGGAGGAAGGACTCAATTTCACCAGTGCATTTCTGCTGCTGGAGACTACAGTACATGACTTTTTTTCAGGGAAGGCTCAATCAGATGAGRGCTGGATGGGTTTGCAAAGGGGGAATCTTACTTGGCCAACCTGATAAACTTCTATGATGAAATTACTGGCTTGTAATTACAAAATCCAATAATTACTGGATGATGAGGGAAGTTTGCTCGTGTTCCGACCTGTGAGGAATGGCTGATAGACCACAGGGCTGTGCTGCCATCCAAAGGGAAGGAACCTCGACAGGCTGGTTCCAAAAGAAACAGCCAAAAGAAACCCCAGAAGTTCAGCAAAAGCAGTGCGAAGTCCCACACAGTATTTTTGGGGGGCTGACCATCAGGAAAGCAGCCCTGCACCAGAGCCACTGAGGGTTCCAGGGGACACCAAGGTGAGCACGAGCCAGCGCTGTGCCCTTGTGGCAAGGAAGGCTGCTGCTATCCTGGGGGCAGCAGGAGGGCTGTGGGCAGCAGGATGAGGAAGGTGATCCTTCATTTCTCCTCAGCCCTGCGGAGGCCACGTGTGGGACACTGTGTCCAGTTCATTGACTTTTAAAGACCATTTTATTTCTAGACCAAAGGCTTGATGTTAATGGTTACCCTTAGATACACCCAGAGGCAGTTTCATTGTTCTCAGCTGTACTGTAGGCAAYGCATGTGGGAGTCAGAGTTACCAGGGATGAAGCATGGGGTGGATGAGCTTGTCTCTCCTAAATCCTTTTCCTCTATGAAACAGCAATTCTAAATCTTCACCCCCATTAGTTTGCGTGTCAGCAAAGATGACTCACTGGAGTGGCAGCAGGCCAGGAAGCATAGTTTGCTCTCCTTTGCTGGAAATTCAAAACAATGAAATTTTGGTGCCTGATTAATATTACATAAATATGCAGATTTTTCTAGCATAAAAGCTGAGGGGTATAAAAGCAATGTGCATGTAATGTAAAAGGAAGACTATAAATTATAAGAAAACTTCCCCCACACAGGAAGATGAATGCCCAAGACAGGCTTCCAGAGACGTCACTTCCGAAGCACTGGCGTGTTGTTGTGCTGCCGCTTTGCACAAGTGCCATTTAATTTGCAGAAAGGTGCTAACAAAGAATTCAGAATATATCAGATGCTGCTGTTTGAAGGTTGTTTAACAGCAGGACTAAGACAAAAGAAACTGGCAATTAGATATATATTTAGCAGTCTTTCTGCAGGCATCTGGAGTTCATTTCAGCAATAATTCAAAAACCCCAGGATACTTTCTGCCTCCTGCTGCTAAGTGAATGTAGGAGTAAAGCTGCTATTTTCACTGACAAGACATTTTACTTGTGAAATTCTCCCTCTTGCACATAATCACTGTTCTAGCAAATTACAACATAGAGCACAACTCTCCATGAATCAGGGGGAACACGATGCCTTCTCAGGTGATACAGGATTGTTGGGAAAATGAAAGCAATCTCAAACAAAAAAAATTTTTATAAATTATGTGAGCCCTTGATGACTCTAATCAGCCTGGGTAAAGGAATTACATCAGGCTCTCAGGGAAGCTGGGCTTTTATTTACCAGGTGAAGGTGCCAAACCAGGTGAATTCAGGCTCTTTCAAGTTGCTTTGACTAATTACTAGAATGCAGTTTTCCTGAGTTTTTCACTTCTTTTGGTAACTTTTATAATGAGTTCTGTTGTCTGGGAGGTAAAAAACTGTGTTTCAGCGAACTGTTGCTGACAAGTASTGCTGTCAAAGGTCACAAGCAGACAACTTTGGCATTCATGTGATCTGTGATGTCTCAGCATGCATATATTACATACATGCACTGAGAAAKGTAAAATAATGCCTTAAGGGTGCAGAGTCAAATGAAAGCCTGACATAAGCAGATTATAGAGAGCAGAGGTMATGTTCTGTGTACGCTGTCCCCCAAATTCTCCTCTAGGCAGATTTGGTATAATCCAGGTAGTCCGTGTTATGCCTTTCTGTTCTTGATCTCTTTATGCACTGTCAGTGTCCAGAGTATTGTATCACATGAAAAGCTGTGAGGACAGACAGYCAACTACTTTGATTAGTTGGTATAGTCTTGTTTGGTGTCAGTAGGTACATCTTAACTGGATTTTTTCTATTTGTGATATTTCTATCTGTTTGAAAATATTCTGGGGGGAAAAAATGGAAAAAATAGTTCTACCTCTTAATATTTAAAGCTGTTTCAAGTGTATATTGCAGTGTATGGCCGCTAAATGAGATTTTGGTGCCAATGTATCTTATATAAGCATGGGTTGGCCAATCCTCAGAAAAACAACTTTGCTCCTTTCTATTCTTTCATTTTTAAGCTCATTCATAGGAGTACATGCAGTCTGGTTCCTGGCTGATTTCTGATTGTCTTTTACATGGCAATGAKTTGTCTGCATGAACCAGATGAGCCTGGCGTGATTCTTCATGAGTTAAAATGAGTTCACGTGGTGAACTGTAATGAATCCTGSTTACTTATTACCTGACTCGCTGTCATCTCTGCAGGACTGGCTGAATGGCTCCTCCTGTTTCATCACYGGTGTGGGACATAGGCAGGTTGTGAAGGCACACACTGTCTTTCCAAATAGTGACATAGTATTGCCAGTTTGCACTGTTGTCTTTCCTTTCTTTTATCCTGAAATCAGCTTTTCTCTGAGCAAATAGGGCAGTGCAGAGCCCTCATAAGTAGCAGCTGCTACAAAGATTTTTTGACCCTCTCTTTTTCCTAGCCTTGTTCTTTAGCTGATATTGACTGGGTTTGTGGAGCTCTTAACAAGCAGCCAAGTTGGGTTGTCATCTTTCATGCTGATTTTCTTTCCTGGCATGTTTTCTCCTGACTGGCCCTTGGAGCATGTGTAATGTGTGGGAAGWCAGCATGTGGACCCCAGCAGTCACCCTGTTTCAATTCCTGTGAATATACTGGTAAAACAGAGAGCTCCAACCTACCCTTAGAAGCACCCTGCTATGCCAGAGCAATATGTTGGCAGTAATTAAAGCAAGAATCCTGCTCCGTTACTTGACACAGTAAGAATGCAGGTAGCCAGATGAATCCCAGCTGTCCAGACCTTGTCTGGACTCTGAGCACAATTGTTTTGTGATGGTTTTAGTTACCCTTGTTGGATTGTAAACCTTTATAGCCTGACTAGTATAATAAAATAACTTTTTTTATGAAGATAATAAATCTCTTCTGACACTGTCTTGAGCTCATTTTGCTCAGAATGTTGTCTAAGCCAGAGCACAATCATAAATTGCTTGTGGAGAGCAGATACTGAAGAAATAAATTACAGTTTTGATACTTGAGTCGTGATGCTATTCATGCTGTCACTGAGTGGATGCTGTGGAACTAGCAAAATTATCTGAATCTGATGTGCTGCATTTCAGYCTGTTTATAGTTTCAGAAGGCAACTTACAATCAATCAGTTTATCAAGAGCATTTAATACAAGGTTTTGGCAAACTA